ATATATATGTAGAAAACATATTACATATGAACCATGCACATGAGACCAAAACTATTTAAATAAAAAACCGAGTAAATAATTCATAAAGCATGGTAGACAGAATCTCAGAAACTGGGTCAAAATTTTTCCAGAAAGCAAATGGTAGTTTTTTGGGGAGTTATTATAATATTTATTTAGGCCGGGCATGGTGGCTCACGCCTGTAATCCTAGCACTCTGGGAGGCTGATGTGGGAGGATCGCTTGAGCTCAGGAGTTTCAGATCAGCCTCAGCAAGAGCAAGACCCCATCTTTACTAAAAATAGAAAGAAATTAGCCAGGCAACTAAAAATGGAAAAAAACTAGGTGGGCATGGTGGTAAGCACCTGTAGTCCCAGCTACTCAGGAGGCTGAGGCAGGAGGATCACTTGAGCCCAGGAGTTTGAGGTTGCTGTGAACTAGACTGATGCCACAGCACTCCAGCCCAGGCAACAGAGCAAGACTCTGTCTAAAAATAATAATAATAATAATAATATTTATCTAAGAAAAAAGAGCCCCTAGAAATTGTATCCAAATTATATTCAATATTTGATTATCATTAGTGAAATTTTTAAAGGGGCTCAGGGTATCATGATGATCAGAGATATAGGACTATCTACATCTCTATATATTTGGAATATAGCTTTAATAAGTCATAAAAATATTGATATAAAAATTTTGGCTTGGAACCATACGTATATTTCCAGCGTTGATACTATGTTTCCATAATAGCTTACACAGAATAATCTGAGAATGTATTTGAGAGCTTACGTCAAACAATCCGTGTGCATCATCTAACATAGGGAAAGCAAATAGCAAACATCATTCAAAACTACAGCAAACTAGTTATCTATAATGAAATCCAAGTACAGTAAATACTATTTAATGAAATAACAAATCTATTAGTTAGTCCATTCCTAAGTTGATCTGACATGATGGAGTAGTTATTTATTCAACAGAATCCAGGTGAATGGAAAATATATTTTTTCTATTTGCTATATAAGCCTGAGTGCTAATGCCTTGGGAACCCATCCATATGGACATACAGGTTCCTACAATTGTTTGTGATTTGATCTGAAAAGGCTTGCTGTATTTTATTTGAGTCAGCTCTCAAGGTCTTTCTGGCATTAAAGTGCAATGAAACTCTTTAGATTTTATCAGGAAAAAACTGTATAGAGTAATACAGAAAAAAATCAGTCACATCAGAATAAGGCACCCATGAATATTTCTATCAGCTCATCAATTCCTATTATGAGCAGGGGCTTCTTCTAACTTTCAATAAATAACATAGATTTTCATTAGCAGTATGTTTTGGATAAACTATTTGTACACAGGCCTTTTCATTATGAACAGGTACAGATGCTCTTTGACTTATGATAGGGCTGTGTCCTGATAAACCCATCCTAAGTAGAAAATATTGGAAGTGGAAAATGCATTTAATACACTCATAAACCCATTTCAAAGTTGAAAAATCATAAATCAAACCATTGTAAACCAGGGACCATCTATTTAGTCTTCACTGCATGAAATTTTCCATTTATTTCCTTCTCTCTTTAATTTTCTTCTATTGAATGTCATAGAAGAAAACTCTCCAACTCCCAACTCTCCACCACCATAAAAAAAATAGAGAAATCCAGTGGCAGAGTAAAAGAATAACTATTCTGCCATTCATATCATGAAAGATTGACGTAAGAAAATAATTCCTAAAAGCCAGTGAAAAAAATGATGTCACAGGTCCTTTTGGGAAGTAATTAAGGTGAGATACAAATAAAATAAATAACAATGAATGAAAATTAGTTGAGAAGCACAGTCCCTGCAGATACGCTTTCTGAAAGCATCACAGATTTGGCCTTGAATCTCTAATCCTAGGGGTCCAGCAACTGTACACAGGAAGTGTCAAACCTGAATCAAGTAATTAGGCAATCAAGAGGCCTAATGAGCTCAGTGTCTAGCTAGTACACAAGAACCATTCTAGATGGATAGGAAAGAAATTAATTCATTAGGCCCTAACACTTAATGGCCTGATTCTCTCGCAGAACCCTCGTTGAGAAAAGCTGCTCTAGGTGTTTGTTCATACATAAGTGGAAATAAGCAACCATCTGTGTGGCAACCAGATGACTGCTAACCACAAATCCATCACTATGCAGTGGAAACACATTAAGTATGGATTTCTGAAAACTTTTATTTCATGTTCTTTTCTGTCAGTTCTTTTTAATCCTCTACTCAGAACATCATTGAGAATGACTAGCATGCAAAGCTTTTCTAGCCCACCCCAAAACAGTGTGAAAGAAGCTAAAGGAAAAAAAAAAAAGAAACCCATTTTAAGTATTAATTATAAATTCTTACTTGTATTTTCTTTTTTCTTTTTTTTTTTTTTTTTGAGACAGCATCTCACTCTGTTGCCCAGGCTAGAGTGCCGTGGCATCAGCCTAGCTCACAGCAACCTCAAAATCCTGGGCTCAAGTGATCCTCCTGCCTCAATCTCCTGAGTAGCTGGGACTACAGGCGCTCACCAACACACACGGCTAATTTTATGTTTCTATTTTTAGTTGGCCAGCCAATGTTTTCTACTTTTAATAGAGACAGGCTGGTCTTGAACTCCTGAGCTCAAGCAATCCTCACGCTTTGGCCTCCCAGAGTGCCAGGATTACAGGCAGGAGCCACCACATCCGGCCCTTACCTAAGTATTGATTTTCCAGAACGGTGAATGAGGTATAAATGAGAAATTATACAAGTCCAACATAACAATGACTCTGAAAAAAGTTAACTTCGGCCAAAGATATCTGAGTGCCTCATGCTATCGTAGACTTAATCCCTTTAAGTACCAATTATTTTCCCCAGTCTATGCCAGCTGTTGTTATCAGAAATCAGATTTTTTTTCTTGTACCAGGCAAGTCTCCTGTTCTTTAGCAGAACAGGAGACTGGAAGTCAAAGTCAAAGAAGGCGTTAAATTAGCCATCAGAAGCTTGTTCCCAACACTGTCTCGAGACTTTTCAGGGCCAGCCTGGTCTAGAAGCAAAACTACAATGGCGGCACTCTGGGATGAACACATTGGCCCTCATTCACTGCAACACCGATTGCTTCCACCAGCACCTTGCCTAACATAACAAATTAGTGCGCTAAAATAACCAAAACCAGATATTCTCTTTTGTCTTTTCAGGACTGCAGAAAAAGTAGCTCCATGCTATTGCAAACATGGTCTGGAATTCTTTTTCTTTTGAGACAGGGTATCACTCTGTTGCCTGGGCTAGAGTGCAGTGGCCTGAGCATAGCTCACTGCAGCCTCAAACTCCCAGACTCAAGCCATCCTCTTGCCTCAGCCTCCAAGTAGCTAAGACTACAGGCACACTCCACCATGTCTGGCTACTTTTTCTATTTTTTTGTAGAGACGGGGTCTAGCTATGTTGCTCAGGCTGGACTCAAACTCCCAAACTCAAGCAATCCTCCTGCCTTGGCCTCCCAAAGTGATAGGATTACAGGCATTAACCACTACACTCCGACTTGGCCTGGCATTTTTAAAACCTAGTTTTAGATAATTGAAAATATATGTCAAATTCAGTGGAAAATTGAAAAAGATTTTTTTTCTTTTCCTTTCTTAAATTTGCCCCAAAACCTTTTTAAGAGTTTCCAAATAGTAACTATCAGGCTGATAGTCCACACATCCCTTTATTACATTAATTATACTGGTAATTCCAGTGAGAGAATTAACAAATTCCCAAGAAGTTACCTTGGGAATTTTAAAGTCACAGTGTGAAGAGTATAAAATATCTTCATATGGTAGAATATGGCTCAAATACACAGTAGTATAAAATTTTCAATGTATGAATAACATGTACTCAAAACATAAGTCTACACTGAACATATGTGGAAAAGATATTTAATTGTAAAATAGAAAAGTAGGCCAGAGTACAGTTTTAAGGGTAATTGCTTCTTTATACAGTATAGGTAATCTAGAGGGGTTTTAGGGTTAAACATTTTCATAAAGCAATAAAACATTAAAAAATAAAGCAAGAAAAAAGGGTTTGAAGTTATGTTTTACAAAAAAAAAGAATAGTCTGTCAGAATTTAATGTTCATACATTGTGGAATTCAACAATATTGTGATGAGAGCAAGTCACAGCACAGACATTGAGCTTTCACAGGGAAAAGTAAAAGTTATGTTAGACATATCTATAGCATCACTGTAGTACAAAAAGTTCTTGTTCTACATACAAAAGCGATTTTTTTCCATAAGAATAATTTCCTGGGGGAGGGGGAATAAGTCCATGAAATATTTCAGAAACCCATATGGATTGAGTTTTCCAAAAACATTATCTTAAAATCCAGTGCCTTAAAGTGCTTTCATGTGGAAATCATGATGGAAGGCACAGAATACAGTTTCGCGTCCCCACTATGAAATTTTCAAAAAAGTGTAGATTTTGCAAATTCAAGTTATCTGGTAAGCTGCTCCTTCCAAGAACATTGTCATTCCAATAAAACCAGATGCTAGCTTACTTAGTTTCAATGACCTATAGAATAATAAGAGTTTTTTTTTTTTTCCGGTAACTTTCATCATCTTTGTGGGAAAAATACCTATGCAAGTGATGCATTTTCAAATTATAAAACATGCAGAATATGTACAAACAGAAAGTTTAAAAAATATTTGCTTCATATACATGTAAATCTACTTGCGTATAGCTGAAATTGAACAAATATAAAAATTTCGCTTTCTAAAAAATGTTTTCAGAGAATCTGAGACAACTTAAAGCTGTACAAAGATTTCCTGGGAGAAATCTCTTCATATAGAAGTTTATACCTACAGGAGTAATTCCAGCATCAGTCCACCATAATTATTACACAACGTTTGGTCTAATCGACAACGATCACCCTTAAAACTGTTCTGTTTCTGAGAAATTAAGGTTCGTACTAAAATCAAAAAGAATTCACAAAAACAGTGGCTTTTTGTGTTTTTGGATCTCTTCAACAATCTTTATCAACTCATTTGGAACTGTAAAAAAAAACAAAAACTATTTACAGAATTGTTTTAAATACATTTCACAACTTCTAAAGTAAAGTTTTATGTTACAAGAATTCAGAGCTCATGGCTTAAGTCCAATTATCAATCTGTAGTCTCTTCTATTATCCTGTATTTCCATGACTGTACCTTTATTGTGTACAGTTCAAGATTGTATTCTTTCTTGACCAAAAGTAAAATCAAACTACATGTTCATTTCAATTAAACAGCTTCTTTATTAGTCTGAAGGCGAGTCATAGCTTCTAATTTCTGTCTGTAGGCCTCTGCTTCCTGTTCTTTCTTTAGAAGCTGCTGTCGATACTTTTGTGCTTCTCGATTTGCTTCATCCAGCTGTTTCTGAAGAGCTTCTCTCTCCTAATTAAAAAAAAAAAGGGTTTTTTCAATTTTTGCACAAATACATTAACACACACAAGCATGCATCCTTCAAATAAAAAAAATTTTAGTAGCTAAAAGTAGCCACACATTGAAATTTACTAGACGTCTTGCCTTTTCAACAAATTCACTAATAATTAAGCCCCTAATTTTGTGCTCCACACTATGAAATATAGATTAGCTTCTGACTTCAAGAAAATTATTTTCCTAATTAGAAATAAGACTAATAGAACAAACCCAAATTAAGTACTTGTACTTTTATATGTACTACAAAAACTAGAGAAGAGTTTTAAAAGAGAAATATACAATCATCTCTCTTCATATCTCTATTTGTGATTCTTTAACCTAAAGGTAGTAATTATAAAACAATATTTACTGAGCACCCACTGTGTGATTAAACAAGATGATTTCCAACAATAAGCTTCTAAGATACATATTAAGCCCACGTCATAGATGAGAAAAATGGTGCTTGGATATGATGTAGCTTTCCCAAGGTCACACAGTATGGAGTTGGGTTTATAGGATTCTAATGTTGCTGCTTTTAAAATCATATTCCTCTCTGACAGCAATATACCTCACCTTTAAAATGAAGAGTGCAGAACTAGAGTAGTATTTCCTAAATTATACTATTTTACAAATCAATAAAACACTAAATTCTCTACTGTGACCCATTAAATTGTACAGGTATAAAATATACATATTAAATTCCTCAATAAATCGAGAGCTGAAATACAAATCCAATCCAATGAAAATCCTCCTCCTCCTCTTCCTCACTCTGCTCCTATTCAGTTATCTCAGGAAAAATGACACGAGAAAATATTTCAAAGAATCCTTTCCCACACCTCTAAGTAAGCACCCGGACAAAAGCTCAATCTGCACAGACCCACGCTCAAGGCAAGTTTCCATAGTCTTAGGAATGAAGCAACCCCATCACAGATGCTCAGAACCTTTTAGTGGGGTGGAGGCTGGGGGTAGGATTATAAATCACAAGAAAGGCCAGGTTTACACTGGGCAAGACACTTGGCCCCAAGAGAACTGCAGGTGAGGGGTTGGCAGCCTGCTGGGGAAGGACAGTACGAGGGTCTCTCCCTATATATCCACTGCCTCTATGACTTGTCCATCGTGAGCACGAAAAGATTTCCTCTCCTTCACTATTCACATGGTCCATAAGGAAGAGCATATATAATCCCCCCTGCCTTCCTGTGATCCCACTCCCTTCTCCATACTGGGAATGAAGCTAGATCCAACATTTATTTTTCCCATGGGTCCACCAGATATGGGAGTGATTGATTACACAAGTGGGCTCCAAACCTTCCGATTACACAAAATAGAAAAGTAGAAGAAAGGATTGTCCCTTACCTTCAATTTCAGCAATGCCCAGATCCTACCCTGCTACCTCCCTACACCCCTGCCACCCTCTTCTCACACTCTTCTTACCCTAACTCCAGGCAAGATGACAATGTAGGAACAAACCAGAAAGGACACCTAAGACGAGCCTCTGGTAAGCAATGATGCCAGTCCCCTGGTTGTGAACTATGCAAGACTTTGAAGACACCGATGGAAGGGGTGGGGAGTAGAGGGTAGGGGTTGGATGCTGCTTCCCCAGGAGCTAGACCCCACCTCTGGCAGGAGCACTCACAACCATGCGTAAGTGTTTTAAAATTTTATACGTGTGTGAGAAATAAGACACTTTGGTAGTCAAAGTTCTGAATATGAGCAAAATTTGCCTTGATTTGGTAGGAGATACTGGAACAGATTAACCCAAAAGTATCTTCTAGAATTAGCTATTTTTATCAACAGGATCAGCAAGGGATTCACAATTATTGCCAAAGATGAAAGCAAACTGAGTGAGGTAGTCTAATGGTGAAAACAGTTTAATCCTATTCTCCTTACTGCATATTTTAATTTCACGAAGTGGAACATATCTTAATAGAAATGAAAAGACAGCTCCCTTCTGCCTACTAGGTCAAATAAAAGACTCATTTTACACTGCTTTTTTGGCTAATTCTGTAAAATCTGAAAGACAAAGATCATTAGCACTACTCTTTGAATACATTTAATCTTCAAGAATGAAAGCATGATTAACAATCAATTTAAGTATGTTCATTTTTTACTTAATTCTCAGGAATATAGGTATTTGGGGAGAGATCTTTTTGCCATCTCACTTTTCAAAGCAAATTAAAATCTGAAAGGTAGAAAATATCACTTTTGGTTTTACTCATAGATCCTTTGTTTCCAAATTTATTTGTCAAACGTTTACTGAACATATATTACATGGAAGATACTTCCTTAATGCAAACAGTAATTTATTTGGTTGTTTCACACATGAATAGTGCAACAGACCGACATTTGAGATTTATATGTATTTAAATGGAAATGCCAATCCTATAGCTGTGATCTTTGCAATAAAATCACAATAAAAAGGATTTTGACATTTTTAAGTAAACACAGTATTTTTCTCCTAACAGTCTAACATTAAAGAATTCTAAGAAAAAAAATCCTGGTGATAATCAAGATTTGGTAGCAATAAGGAAGATATTTATCTTATCATACAATTCTAAACCCAATCAACATACTGCTATAACATTAATCAATGAAATAATAGAGCCAGGGAAGATTTGAGTTTGCTTTTTAAATTGTAAATATGATTCTTGAATTTTGCTTCAGCTAACAGCAATGATCTCTAACAGTTTTATCATCTTACTATGTAGTTTTCTAATATTCATATTTTGCTTTACCTATTATAAATCACAAAATTATTATAGTGATTTATATTCTACCATACCTCAGTATAAATTTTAGAAGAGTAATAATAACAACCAACATTTACTGAGCATTGACTATATAACGGCCATTATACTAGTCCTTCACATGCATTCCCATTTAATTCTCACAACAATCGTACAATGTAGGTGCTTTATTATTTCACCCTTTGTACTCACAGGGAAGCCAACCCTTGAATGGTCAAATAACTTGACCAAAATCACAAAATCAGAAAATAAAGTTCAAACTGAAATCTGATTCTAGACCCATATTCATAACCACTAAATGTTTTTTAGAAAAAGAAAGTGGGTGGGGTGAACTGTTTGCTTGTGTGTAAACAGCAATTTTTCTAACTGCCCTGGGCCAAATATAACAAATATGATTTTATTTTTACAAATAAATTTTTATTGAAATACAGCCACACCCACTCATTTCCAATATGCTGCTTTCCCACTGAATTGGCAGAACTGAGTAGTTGCAACAGAGACTATATGGTCCATAGAGCCAAAAATATTTGCTACCTGGCCCTTTACAAAAAAACTTTGCCTTCTCCTGCCCTACAGAAAGACTTACCAAGAAGAGATATGACTATAGAAAATTTTAAACTGTGGCAGATCAGGAAGGGTATCCATTAATAAAAGGAAAACAGATTTGAAACATTTTTATCAAATAAAACCTTGTATAAAGTTTACAGAAATCAATTTTTAAAAGAACACTAAGGATCTCAACTCTACCACTAGTTAGAGGACACAAATATTTCATTAAAAATAAACAAAATTCACTAATAAACATATTTATCCTAACCTCCATGGCAAATAAAAATTTGCCATGGTAGCACATGGCACACTTCCTCCAAAAATATCTTCAATGCAATAATATCAAGCAAGGGGTGGTAACAAAATTATATACATTATTGCAGTGTTACAGCTGTTTTAGAATTTGTCTAGCAAGGCTTTCTGGGAAGATCCCCATAAAAAATAATTATATAGATTCTTGCAAATTGGTCTTATTCATAACTTCACCTCCGAAAAACAAACCTATTTCATTTCCCATATTGCTATAAATTTCCTATAATTTAAACTAATTTCTCCTGATATTATTGGTAAATCTCTCCATTGTTAGTTGGGAAACTCTATTAACATAAATTCTTAGTACCTTCTTTATAGACAGTCACTATGGTAATTGCAGATACAGACACACAAAGAAAACCCAAACATGTCAGATTTTATATGAGTTAATTTTTAAATTTCTTTAGAGAGAGTTTCTATTTTTTTTTTTGAGACAGCATCTCACTCTGTTGCCCAGGCTGGAGTGCTGTGGCATCAACCTAGCTCACAGCAACCTCAAACTCCTGGGCTCAGGCGATCCCCCCGCCTCAGCCTTCCAAGTAGCTGGGACTACAGGCATGCACCACAACATCTGGCTAATTTGTCTATTTTTAGTAGAGATGGGGTCTTGCTCTTGCTGAGGCTGGTCTCGAACTCCTGACCTCAAGTGATCCTCCTGCCTAGGCCTCCCAGAGTGCTAGTATTACAGGCATGAGCCATGATGCCTGGCCTAGAGCAAGTTTCTAAATCTCAGCATTATTGATAGTTTTCAACCACATAGTTCTTTATTGTGTGGGGCTGTCCTGTGCATTGTAGGATGTCTACCTGGCCTCTACCCATTAAATGCCAGTGGAATGCCACTAGTCATGACAACCAAAAATGTCTCCAGACATTGCCAAATGTACCTTAGGGTTAAAATCGCCCCAGTTATGACTCACTGCTTTTAAGAAACTTTAAGTTAATGGCCAACCTGCCACTTAGAAAGGAGTATAAAGATCTGCCCCCAAGAGGACTAGTATAAAAATCTGCCCCCAAGAGTACTAGTTATCTAAGGAAATAAATTCAAAAGAATGATTTCACGTATTATAAGGAAATGATTACCTGGTTTGATGAAAACATTGGAGGTCATCTCTTCATTCTATATCTCCAGCCCACCTCTACCATCTATATTCACTGTATGCATCAAGGTTTCTCTGTAATAGCCCTAACAGGTCAACCGTGGCTTGAACATTTCCAGTGATGGAGAATAAGATTTCCATTACCAGAACTCTAATTACTAAAAACAAAGCACACAAAAACCACTATTCTTTATATCAAGCTAAAACTCAATCTCCCTGAAGTTCTATCTCGTTGGTCCTAGTTAATTTATACACCTCAATTCATACTTTCCTGTTATTTGCAATTATTCTCCCTCGTCTCTCAAAGACCGTAAGAGGGGAATCTGGCTGAACTTTGAGGGCAATAGCAATGCTCACTGGTCATTAGGTAAATAAAGGTGCAGGCTGCATATTCATAGGTTAAAAAATATAATTTGTTCAACTGAATAAGTTTATGTTCAATAAAAATTCAAGTAATTTAAAAATGTTTTATTAAATAGTTAAAGCAAAGTACATGACAAAATTTTTTCACCTTACGTCTCAAAAAGATCTGACATATCAGAAAAAAGCAATAAAGAGTATTAAATAAAATTAAATACTGATTCTGTTCAATGCAATACATTGTTAGTTTGTCAATAAGAACTTCAACATCCTGCATATCACTTTAAATATTAAAGAAATAAAACAACCCACCATCAATAAAGTCATGATTTTACCAAACATTCTGGTTAAATCATGAATCAGATTCTTTTAAACTCAATGATATGTTATTTGTAATTGTGGCCAAAGATGTACCAGTCTTATATTTAAACGAATTTGGGAAGGGTATTTTCTAATTTTCTTTAGTTGGAATTATGTTGTCTTTTAGTGACTTTTTAAAAAATCTTCACCTTTCTATGATAATAAGAACCTTTACAAAGAACTACTAAATATTCACCAAATTTACTATATACATATATTAGATATTATAAATATTATAAAATGAATGTGCTGAGTTTTTCAATTCTCATAAAAACCCTAAAATGGAGATATTATTCTAAATTCCAATTTGACAATAAAACTGAAACTCAGAAAGGTAAGATATCTTGCCTCAAAGCTAATAGGGCAAGAGGCAGGATTCAAACCCGCTTCAAGTCCAATGCTCTTTCAAAGTTATTCAAGGATAACTTTGTTTTCATTTGATATATATTAATGTCAAATTCAAGGAACACTTTGACTTGTCTGCTTTCAGCTAAAAAAAAAAAAAATTCAGTAAACACAGTTTTATTTATAGTAAGATGAGAAAAAAACTGTGACGCAACAAACTGGTTTATACTTACAAACTAGTTTAGGAGAGGGCAAAAAAAGTTGAATTCTATCAACAGTCTAAATTAACTTACTTTCCTTAAAAGACTTAATGGTGAAATAAGCAGTTATCTACTGCTTTTTACAAAATAACCCATTTGACAAACATTAACCTTTTTTAAGAGAATCCCCTAGCATAATTAGGCATTTGCATTTCATTTTTAAAGGACAAAAAAATTTTTAGCCAGTATATAGTAGTATTTTCCTTTAGTGAGTTGTGAGAATGGTGTGTTTGTAAGTTTAATAGAAAATAAAGGATGGCGTGCAAGAACCAAAGACATCTCAATGTTATCAGATGACAGACTTTGTTACAAACGAATTCTTCACTCACTCATTCATTCATTCAATATTTATTTATTGAAGGCTTGCTATATGTATAAGGCAAAAAAAAATAAACAAAATCATAATACTATGCACTTTCATTCTGTATCAAAACAATACTGTCAGTAATAAATATAAAAGACAAAAAAAAGTAAGTTGAATTTATTTTGGATGACTGCAGCAAAACACACCGGGTAAAAGACTCCTTACTTCTATTTCTGCAGATTCCACCCTGTTTTCAATTATTTCGATACATTGTCTCTTAGCTGGTGGTTCTTCACTTATAACAGTTTCTTCAGCAATGTCCGTTGCTGGTACTGTTAATACTAAAATGAAAAAAATGTTTGCATTACTTCATTTTCAGATAGGTTTAGTAGAACTAAAACTTGTCTTGACATCACTGATGCTACTCATCTAAAATAAGAACATTCCAAACAAATAATACCAAAACACTGACTTGCTTTTTATGAGGATGTCCATATTTGTCTTTTTTACCTTGCTGCTTTTTTTTTTTATTTCAGCATATTATAGGGGTACAGATGTTTAGGTTACGTATGTTGCCCTTGCCCCCCGTCCCCACCAAGTTACGTTGCTTTTTTATTATAATCTACTTATTAAAGTACCTACTTATTTTTTAAAATTGTATCTAATATATTCATTCATATGACTCAAAAATCAAAATATTTAACAAGCATATTTTGGGAGGTCTCATGCACACCCTTCTAATACAGATAATCATTTATTTCTTGTGCATTTTTCTTATATTAATTTATTTTAAAACAAACATGTACATTCTCATTTTTCTTTCTTACACAAAAGCTAGCATACATACAATACATACATTCAAACATACATACAACAGATATATTATTTTGCATCTGTTGTTTTCACTCTAAATATTTAGAGTATTTTTTATCAGTACATAGAGAGCTTCCTTTTATTTAGGTACATGATATTCCATTATACGGATATACCATTATGAACACTGTTCATAAACTTTGCTTGTCTCCCTAATAGACTGTTGGACTTCATCTCAATTTTTAGTAGCTCTTTATATAAATGTAAATATATACAGAGGCTGTCCTTGCTTTGCGCACAGCAGTATATGACCATGAAAGTCACTGTGCAAGCTGAAACCATGCAAAACAATTTTAACAATCAATGAGGAAAATTACAATTGTTCCATGGCCTTTAAAATTTTTTGTCATGAACCTTGAAAGCATTACGTTAAAAAAAATTTGTCGGCCAGGCGCGGTGGCTCATGCCTGTAATCGTAGCACTCTGGGAGGCCGAGGCGGGTGGATCATTTGAGCTCAGGAGTTCGAGACCCGCCTGAGCAAGACAAGGGCAAGACCCTGTCTCTACTAAAAATAGAAAGAAATTACTTGGACAACTAAAAATCTATATAGAAAAAATTAGCCGGGCATGGTGGCGCATGCCTGTAGTCTCAGCTACTTGGGAGGCTGAGGCAGAAGGATCGCTGGAGCCCAGGAGTTTGAGGTTGCTGTGAGCTAGGCTGATGCCATGGCACTCTAGCCCAGGCAACAGAGTGAGACTCTGTCTCAAAAAAAAAGAAAAATTTGTCAAAACATGAAAAACTCTTACTGTCAGTTATTAAATATAAATGTAAACAGAAATTTTAAAAAATTAAAACTAGTATTTATTTAGTACAGTGTAATTTAAAACATTAGAAATATTGAGAATTAAAGTGTTTTCTTTTCATTCATATCACATTTACAAATTTTTCTTTTTCTATTTTTTTTTTTTTTTTTTTTGGAGACAGGGTCTCAGTCTGTTGCCCAGGATAGAGTGTAGTGGTGCAATCATAGCACCTTGCAACTTCAAACTCCTGGGCTCAAGCGAGCCGCCTACCTCAGCCTCCCAAGTAGCTGGGACTAGAAGCACGTGACACCGTGTCTGGCTTTTTTTTTTTTTTTTTTTAAATTTTTTGTACAGATAGGGTTCTCACTATGATACCCAGGCTGGTTTTGAACTCCTGGCCTTAGGCAATCCTCCTGTCTCAGCCTCTCAAAGTGCTGGTACTACAGGCATGAGCCACTGCACGCAGCCTCTAAGCTCCTTTTTCAACCAGAATACTTTTGGGCCAATTTCTCTTTCCACCTAGTATGTACTCAGAGAAAGCAAGCTATTTGCAAAGGGTTACAAAAATGAGATTCAAGGCAAAACTAAATACTTTGGAAAACATACCACAATTTCCTAAGAATTAAAAATAAACACAAACTTCATACAAATGTCTACTACTAACCTTGTTGTCCATCTGGCATGGTCACAATGATGGGCTGACCTATTCCACTGGTGGGAATGGAGTGTAAATTTCCAAGCTGAATTCCATCTGTAACTATTGTGATGACTTGCTGACCCCCAGAACTAACTACTTGCTGAATTGCACCATCCACAGATTCTGCTGTAACCACTTCCTCCGTGGCAACTACTGGAAAAAAAAAAGGAAAAAATCAGTGAATATATATAACAGTATAAACAGAAATTTATTAATATTTTTACTTTGCTACTTTTGCCTTTCCTGCTTCTTCCTCACACAGAAAAACTTTTACATGGTTTTTAACTCAGTTTCCACTGGTGGTGCAGACAACTATATAAACAGATGACTACAAGTCTCATAATTTACAATAAGTGAGTTCTAACTATTTTTACATGTGAGTGATTAAATAAATAATTTCTCTTCATTCCATTATATGAGGTACAAAATTTATAAGATCTCATAAGATCATGACAAAGGTTACATATGCTTCATAGAACTCCACAATTCAAAAGATACTTTTGAATATAGTTATATTCCATTTACATTTACATATGAATTGATATACAGAATAAATAGTATTCCCTTTTTGGAGTGAGCGAGCAAGGGTTGCCTTGATAATAAGCAGCATGCAGATCTGGTACTGTATGATATTAATAAGACAACATTTTAACATTTACATAAATAAAATCCCCAAATATGCTCTTAATAATTTATGAGAGTCTCAGAGAGGATTCTGGCAGCTAAAAACAGCGCCTCTGGCCTTGCCTGGGTAAAGAAATCACAAGTTAATACTGCCAAAATCCTTTCCCACAGGTACTCCTATGCCCAAATACCAATCCCAAAAGACATGCACAGGAACATTCATCACAGCTTTACTCATAATAGTCAAAAACTAGAAACAGTCCAGATATTCACTGATAGTAAATAAATTATGAGAGTCATATATTGGAATATCTACCGCAATTAAAGTGACTATATGCAAAACATGGATGAATCTGACAAAAAATACTGAGTAATGTCAATCACACACAAAATAATATATACTATCTACCTTCCATTTATGAACCAAGCTATGTTTACACAGGAGTGACCACTTTGTGATGATTCCTCAAACTGTACAATTATCATCTATGAGCTTTCTGTATGTATGTTAGACTTCGGTGAAAAAGTATCAAAAGGAATAATGATAGCAGTGAATTATAACATTGAATTTTTAAAAATATGTATTAATAGTACCTCATAAAAGAGGAGAGAAAGGGAGAAAGGGAAAAGATCTTGATGGAAAGTGACATCTAGGCTGGGCGCAGTGGCTCACGCCTGTAATCCTAGCACTCTGGGAGGCCAAGGCAGGTAGATCGTTTGAGCTCAGGAGTTCGAGACCAGCCTAAGCAAGAGCGAGATCCCGTCTCTACTAAAAATAGAAAGAAATTAGCTAGACAATTAAAATACATATAGAGAAAAAAAGTTAGCCAGGCATGGTGGCGCGTGCCTGTAGTCCCAGCTACTCAGGAGGCTGAGGCAGGAGGATTGCTTAAGCCCAGGAGTTTGAGGTTGCTGTGAGCTAAGCTGACGCCATGGCACTCTAGCCAGGGCAACAGAGTGAGACTCTGTCTAAAAAAAAAAAAAAAAAAAAAAAAGAAAATGACATCTAAATAATGTTAAAAGGAATGACAAATTAAGAAATATTATCATTGTAACTCCTAATGTAATAATTTATTCAAGTAAGGATCACTAGTGGGTGCTAAAAGCATTGGTGAAATGTTTTGGGGAAGCGGGATATTCAAATGGATTCTCAAAATATCATACTAAAGATTACCGTTAGTTATGAAGCGGAAAATCTACCTGTAAAGACCTGGCAGTCACCATTTCACCAAGTGGTCATTATCAGGATAGGGTGATATTACTCTGCCTCCTGAGATGATGCAATGGGAAGTTACAAAATATCACTGGTGTTCTTCCTAGAAATGCTTGACCTGAATCTAACTATTAAAACACAAATTAATCCAGAATGTGGGTGGTCCTGCAGATAACTAGCTTGGACCCTACAAAGATTTCAATGTCATAAAGAACAAGGGAGGCAATAGCAATATCCTAGATGAGAGGAGACTAAGAAGACACAATAATCAAATACAATGTTGTGAACTCTAATTGGATCCTGTATGAAAAACAAATAGCTATAAAGGACATTTGGAGGACAACTGGGGAAGTGTGAACATGGACCACATGTCAGATATGTTACCAAAGTGATGTTGATATTTTTATAAAATAAAATAGAGCTGTGGATATGTAGAAGGCAGTCCTTGTTCTTGGACGATACATGCCAAAGTACTTAAAGGTGAAGTATCATGATGTCTGCAGCCTACTTTCAGATAACGTGGCAAAATAAAAGTGCATGTGTGTGTTTACGTGTGTATGAGAACATATTGGTATGGCAAGATGTTAACAGCCGGTGAATATAGGTGAAAGATGTACAAATTCATCCTCTGATTTTTCTATAGGTCTGAAAACTGTCAACATAAAAAAATTTTTGAAAATATGACTAGTTCAGGCCAGGAGCAGTGGCTCACACCTGTAATCTCAGCACGTTGGGAGGCTGAGGTGGGAGGACTGCTTGAGGCCAGCAGTTTGATACCAGCCTAGGCAATATAGCAAGACCCTGTCTCTACAAAAAAGTTTAAAAATTAGCCAGGTGTGGTGGCACACACCTGTAGTCCCAGCTATTTGGGAGGCTGAGACAGGAAGATCACTTGAGCCCAGGAATTCAACGTTACAGTGAGCTATGATCAGGCCACTGCACTCCAGCCCAGGCAACAGAGTGAGACCTTGTCTCTTATTAAGAAAAAAAAGAAAGAAAAAAAAAACTAGTTCAGAAAAAAGAAATAACATAAAAACTCCTGGGCTCAAGCAATCTTCCTGCCTCAGTCTCCTAAGTAGCTGGGACCACAGGCACATGCCACCATAGCTGGCTAATTTTTCTATTTTTTATAGAGATGGCGTCTTGTTCTTGCTCAGGCTGGTCTCAAACTCCTGGCCTCAAGTGATCCTCCCGCCTCAACCTCCCAAAATGCTAGGATTACAGGCGTAAGCTACCATACCCAGCCTTCTAAATAACACATTTTTTTAAAGTGTTGAGGCAACACTTTACGAAAAGTATAATTAAATAAAACCATTCTCTATTGAAATCAAGCCACCATCGAGATACACAGTTGCTGTGAAACACTGAGTTGCTACCAACTTGTAATAGGACATCATGGATATTGACGATCACAGGATTTACTACAGACAGGGAGGCCATAAATATACTAACTTCTTTTTTAAAAAGACAAGATAAATACTGGGATCCTACTTTTTAAGATGTACTCTTGGCAAGAGGCCTGACTTCAACTCTGCTACTGTGTTATTTGGTAATCAAGAATCACAATACAAACCCTGTAGAATATTCAAAATGCAAACAACCTTTATGTTTTGATTTCTTTCATTATTTTTGTTTGCCTTAAACTATAATTAGGTTTTATCACCAAGCACTTAAAAAAATTTCAGGAAGATAATTACAACATGAAATGTAGGGCATACAATAGTAATATATTTGATAGAACTACTAAGGTTTCAAAAACATAAAGTATTGCTTTGATATTTTTTTAAAAAATCCATATGAAAAAGAAATGTTCACTCTGGTTGAATACTAACTACAGGTAGTAAATATTTTAAAGCATAATCATATGTAAGAAATTTCTGAGATCACACACAATCAAGGCACAACTAAAAAACTTTCATCTTTGCATTATTTGCAATGACTATCATTAAAATAATAATCAGTTCTTGCCTTTCATCTAAAAAGCTTTCTTTTTAAGTTGTGCTTGGTAAGGTATTTAAGAAAAAATTAAAAGGAAACCAATTACGTAAGAAGACAAAGCGCCCCCCAGAAACTCTAAGAACCCAAGAGTAAAATGTTGAAACATAAAAGAATAAAAGAGAAAACCTAAAAACTCTAAAAAGATTGTTGATTAAAAAAAATAATGAGAATAAATATGTATATATTTCAAATTGTAAAAACCCCTGGATAAAAAATAAGTGTAATGTCATAAATATTCATTGACCTAATTCAAAAGTCAAAGAGGGTAGGTGTGGAGTGAGGGATCAAAAACTACCTATCGGGTAACAATCTATACTATTCGAGCAAGGGGTACACTAAAATCCCTGATTATACCACTATACAATAAAAAACACTTATACCCCCTAAATCTTTTGGGGGTGAAAAAAAAGTCAAGTTGTAATATTTATAGAGAGCCTAAATAATCTGCAGTACCTTTGAAGATATTTGAGGTCTCTTGTTCAACATGACTTTTGAATTACAATGCCATAAAAATGAAATAAGATAGGGAAGAAGACTGTCTTTGAAATGTTCTAAAAGAGTGAAAATTCTTCATAGAAATATTTAAACAATAAAATAGAAACTATGCTTATTGAAGAAAAGCAACATTTCAAAGGTACCATGCATGTAATTGAACCTGAAATTAAAAACAAAAAAGCAAAAACAATCTCACGAGGCCCAGTAAGTACCCCTTATAGCCAATTCGACTTTAATACCCTATTTTAGGAACAGACCAAAAAATAACGTGCAAAGGGGACCTGGTTCAAATTTCACTATTGGGGAGAAAGGAGGGAATTGTTAACATCTACCAGATGCATTACACCTTTTGAAAAACCATCTTATTAGCAATTAGCAAAAGCTGCTCTAAATACAAAAAGGGTGGCATAGATGTCAAGCTAATCAAAGTATTATATAACTGGGCCACAAGGAAGAATAAAGCTAAGCAAAGTTGATATAGGACTGAAGGCTAAAGCTACAAAACAGAGTTTTATGAAAGAGTATTTTAAAAGGACCAGATAACTACACTATATATGTAAGGCCCACATCTTAACCAATCACAATCTCCAAGTCTACATCCCAAGTAACTCAAATCTATTCACTTATTATCTCCTTGTCAAATCATAATTTATGCTACCATTATAGTGTCTCTTCCCTGGTTGATTACATTAGACTCCTAACTAAACTTCCTTCCAGAGCATTCTTCTAAGCCTGCCAAAGTGATCATTTTAAAGTTCTCCATAATCTTACCTTCAATCACCTTGGTTTACTCTCCCACCCACTGGGTTTAGCCACACTGGCC